TAAGTCAGAAGCCATTGAATCAGGGGGGATGGAGGAACAGCAAGTATCCTGTGTGAATGCGTCGGGGTCAGATGCTGCTGTAAAACTGGACTTTGATTTGAATGAGGGCTTTCCTGTTGATGAAGGGAGTCAACCAGAGTTTGTTAAAGCAGGAGATCCTGGAACATCATCTTCTTTTCATTTTCCTTGCCCTTTACCTTTTCAAATATCTTCCGTGTCAGGGAGCTTCCCTGCATCAGTTACTGTAGTCGCGCCTGCCAAAGGTTCATTTGTCCCTCCTGAAAACCCGATGCGGAGTAAGGGTGAACTTGGATGGAAAGGCTCTGCAGCTACTAGTGCATTCCGACCTGCAGAACCCCGAAAGAATTTGGAAACATCACTCAGTGCGACCGATACACCTATTGGTGATACTGCTTCCAGCAAACAAGTCCGCACTCCGTTGGACTTTGACCTGAATGTTCCTGATCAGAGAGTTTATGAGGAAGTTGTTTCCCAATACTCTGCACATGTGATGGGTTCCAAGTCTGGGTCTCGTGATCGAGGCGCTGGAGGGCTTGATCTTGATTTGAATAGAGTTGATGAGAGTCCTGATATTGGGTCACTTTCTGCAAGCAGTAGTTGTAGGTTGGAGATGCATCCTTTGGCAAGTAGGTCTTCATTATCTGTTGGACTATCTAATGGTGGGGTTACTGACTCCAGGGACTTTGATTTAAACAATGGCCCAGGCCTTGATGAAGTGGCCACCGATACAGCACCATGCACCCAGCATTTAAAAAGCAGTGTGTCTCTAAGGACGCCTGTTTCTGGGTTAAGAATAAACAGCCCCGATTTTGGGAATTTCTCAGCATGGATCCCTCCAGGAAACTCATATCCTGCCATCACAGTCCCTTCAGTTTTTCCTGGCCGGGGTGAGCAGAGTTATGGTCCTGCAGCTGGGTCACAGAGAGTTTTGTGTCCTCCCACAGCTAACGCATCATTTGGTCCTGAAATATACCGGGGGCCAGTGCTTTCGTCCTCAACTGCAGTGCCATTTCCACCTGCTACTACATTTCAATATCCAGGGTTTCCTTTTGAAACAAATTTCCCTCTGTCATCGAGCTCCTTTTCTGGTTCAACTGCATATATGGATTCATCATCTGGTGGGCCACTTTGTTTGCCCACCATTCCCTCACAGCTGGTGGGACCAGGTGGTGTAGTCCCATCTCCTTACACTCGGCCCTATATGATGAGCTTTCCCGGTGGTAGTAGTAATGTTAGCCTTGATGGTAGGAAATGGGGTAGTCAGGGTCTTGACCTTAATGCCGGGCCAGGAGCTGCAGAAACAGAGCGGAGAGATGAGAGGTTGACTTCCGGATTGAGGCAGCTTTCTGTTCCCAGTTCGCAAGCTCAGATAGAGGAACCTTTCAAGTTGTTTCAGGTTGGAGGCACATTGAAGAGAAAGGAACCTGATAGTGGGTTGGATGCTGTTGATCGAATTAGCTATAAGCAACCTTCACGGCAGTAAAATCATGGCACAATGCGGCTAACCTGTCAAGGCCTGGTAAGTTTTTCTAGCCTTTCCAGTTCTGGTTGTCATTATATTTAAGTAATTTATTTTGTTGGACATGTTTAGAAACCCATGGAGGTCTGATTACTAATGAAACTCAACTACTTGTAAAGTCTACCATGGCAATTTAAGCTCAGAGAAATGTTCTTGGATGGTGTCACAATTTCAGTGATGAAATTGAATTTATGTTATTCATCATAGTTTCTGAAGATATTTTTTTCCATTTCTTTATTATTGCAATCAGTTAAATTAAGGTTTATTATTTCATTTGGAAGCTTTGGTGAAATGTTTTCTTGTTAATATTATTTTCAATGAAATCCTTAGTTTGTTTCAAGGATTAGCGGAATATGGTCTTGTCTATAGTGCAAGTTGTTATTTGCAACCTGAGTTGCCATCATAATAAAAGAAGAAATAGTGTTTCCACCTGTGGCATTTTGGGAACTTTCATTATTTTATTGGATGGGTTTTACATGTTTATTATGCATCAAAATAAAACTCTTCCGCAATTCCCTTGAACATATCTTCTTAATTATGAAGCGTTCTTGCTTCTTGCAGCACTTCGGGGTTTTGCATTGGAAACATACAGGAGTTGTTTATTTGGAGAGTAAAAAATGCTAAAGGACAGGCACATGTGTCCAGTGTGCGGAACACCAATCCGCACCACCTCTAACTTTAGAAACCCCTGGGGTCCTGGAAGCAGTTTTTTAGCTGAATCTGTTCTGATGGCCTCCGCAGACGAGTTTTTCTGTGTAGATATCTAACTCTTGAAAACATCTTTGATGTGCTGCCAAAAGCCGAGACATTGGTGCTCAGTGATGGGACTTGTGCCCATTCAGGTACACACTGCAATCCCAATCCTTACTGAATCCTATTTATAGGGGAGATTGGTTGTATGAACCTCCCAGGCCAAGGCCGGGTTGTAGTTTCTGTTATTAATTTTTTTTTCTCCAGTTGTTACATATATAGTTATTACCTAGTCAGGACTGCCGAATTTTGTTATCTTATCACATTCTGGTTATTGAAATTTGCACAGGCTGTCACCGTATTAATTTTTTTCTTTGTATTATAAGTTATAACCAGAGTCGGGACCTTTTTGAAACCTAGAGAATGTTGGACAGAGAGTTCACTTTTGCTGCATTTGATTCATTTGTATTATGAATGCCTTTTGACCCAGTTGTGAAATTTCCATGGTCCTATCGGTTGCCTTTTTCACAGCAAACCAGTATACTCCCCAACGTTGTGTTGTGTGTTTTGGGCGTGAGGCCGTTTTGCGGTTTATATTTGGGTACTGATACTGCAAATCTGAACATGTTGTAATCCACCCTGGCAACTGTTGTACAATTTTGGTTGCAGCTTAATGGAAAGAATATGGGTAGACGATGGATGTGAAATTAGCTCAGCTCATTTTCTCAAAGGGTCCTCCACTGCATAGTTGGATGTACTTGTGATTGTATGCTAAATTTGTTCTAAACATGTTACCCCCTGTTTCCGCCAACAATTCAATGTCTGGCTGGGTATGCAGCTCAGCACATCGTCTGTTAAATGTCTTTTCTTATGCACCAGAATATTGCAAAAAATACCAGAATGCCGTAGAAAGTGCAAATCTGGGATCGTTTAACCTGCATGGTGATTTCTGTTTCTGGTCTTTCTGAATCTAGGATTTTGTCGACTATATGAAATTTGATCACCACAACGCTTGCAAGTTGCAACCGTGTACAAATCTCTCCTAGTCTCACAATGCCAAGGTTATGCCTGATTGGTGCGTGCCTTACGAGTCTTTGCAAGTGTCACCACAGCAGACTTGGTTAGGCGAGTTGGTCAGGCAGGCCAGTGAATTTTCATAAGACTAAATAAAGTACAAAATGCTCAGAATGGCTGAACGTTTTCTTTTGAAAATAGACTCTCTCTCGCTCATATGGAGCAAAGCGTTTTTCCTAACTTTTGGACTATTTCTTGCGACCAAGTTTTGGCATTAAAAAGGGCAAGAGAACTTTCAGTTGTCTGACACGTCAGTCAGAATTTTCATGTATAATTTTTAAGTGTTGCCTTTCTCGAACAAGCTCTTTCAGGAATAAAGGTTTCATATGTAGATGTCTGGGGAGGGTACAAGTTCAACAACACACACAAGTCGCTTTTAATTTTAATGCATTTAGGCTCTCCAGGTGTCGTCGTATGGTCTTGAGGTTTCAGAATCAGAGGGACCAGATGCAATTCGAATCCAAGTGTAAAAGATTAGCGAAGTATTTCATCAGGGGATGGGATGCTCTCCTTCTTCCTTGTAGGAGGAGGGATGTTATGAACCTTCTTTTTCATTTGTTTTGTTATACCTTGCTTCAATACTAGAATGTCGGTAATGGCGTCCCTGTCTTTAGGACAAATTATCCCGATTATTTATGGGTCATTATTACATCTTACCATAACATTTTCTTTACATGAATACCTAATTAGGTCAAAGGTAGACAAATTTTATCCTTCAATATAGGAATTGATTCATATCCATTTGCAAAGCAAGAAAAGGTAAAAGGAAAACATCAAAAATGCATTTATTGGCTTCTAAAGCAATTTTTCTTTTAGGGTCGGTTTGGTTTTGGTGGTATGAAATTGCATTCTTATGTTTGATAATTCTACTTTTTGATTAAAAAAAAAAAAGACAATAGAATTTAATAAGTGTACTTTTAGAAATATAATACTTGACTTATGGTATGAACGTAACATAGTTATTAGGCCTTCGTTTGGATTGGTGGTGTTGAGAAAGGAAAGGAAATGTCATCTCATCCAAATGATAAATGACGGGATGGTGTATCATTTCATTGCATGCATGATGCATCAACATCGGATAAACCTAGACCTAGTCTGCACCACAACGTTTGTTCATGCCCTCTTAAGAAGGAGGGTCATATGGAAAAGTCATTTAAAATCTCATTTGGATGTTTTCCACGTAAGTGGCCGAGGTGCACAAAATTAAGAGAAAAAAAAAAAGTGGGAAACTAAGAAAAAATAAAATAAATGTGTGGGGTTGGGTAGCCTTTAAGACCACTCAAAAAAAAAACCCCCAACAAAAAGTGCACAAAATTTCCGAACCCGAAGAAATTGCGCCGAGTATTCAGGTCAATTTTTTTTTTTTGGTCTGAAGAGTATTCAGGTCAATTTAGGAATGAGACCTACCCCCAAACATTCACATGCAAAGCTCACTCGTTTCAGACTCAGTTAATTCCATGGCTTTGCCGCGTGTTCACGGCTGACGTTACTTTCCACACAACAGCCAGCCATCTCTCATTTCTCATTTCTCATTTCTTATTTGCCCTTCTCTTCCAAAAATAATTACCGTTGAATTTATAAAAACAACAAAAGAAAGAAAAAGGAAAGCAAAAGCTCATCATCCCATGATCCCATCCCAGTGAAGCTAAAAAACCAAAAAGGTAAAAAAGTACAAAAATAAAGAGCCTCTTTGGCTCTCTCTCAAAACAAAGGACACAATCCACCAGTATCAATTTTGCTTAATGATGGAGTTGCAGAATCTCCTCAGCCTTCCCCTTATAATTTCTTCCTCATAGCTAAATCATTTGCCTTATTTCCTCTCTCTCTCTCTCTCTCTCTCTATGCCAGACCGACAGTCATGAGTTTTTGTACTTTTTCACCAGAAAAGCTTCATAACAATGCCAAAAGGGAGAGAGGCTTGAACATGGGAAGCAGATTGGTTCCTTTCTTGTTCACTTCTCTAGCCATAGCCACCCTTTTCAGCTTTTTCCTTATCTATTCTCCAAACCCTTTGCTAACCATAGCCAAACAAGGCCTTAATTCTATTCAAATCCAGCCAAACCTTCATGCAGTACAAGAACAAGACCACCAAGACCACCAAGACCTTGATCACAATAACATAAAGCTCCAACCACCTACAAGTAACTTTACAAACAAGCCATTTCTTTTATATCTTCTCTTTTGTAATTACTTTCTTTTTTTGGTCATGAATTATTTATATAAACTCCTTTTGATGGGATGGGAGTGTTCTAAAAGATAATATTGGTGTGTCTGATTTTGTAGAGAAGGAGGAGGAGAAATGCGACTTGTATAAGGGTCACTGGGTTCCAGAATTAAGAGGGCCAATGTACACCAATTCAAGCTGTGCCACAATTCCAGAATCAAAGAATTGTTTCAAAAATGGCAGAAGGGACAGTGATTTTCTTAATTGGAGATGGAAGCCAGACAAATGTGAGCTTCCTCTGTTCGATCCCAACACCTTTTTGGAAATCGTGAGAGGAAAGAAAATGGCATTTATCGGAGACTCTGTGGCTCGCAACCATGTGGAGTCTCTTCTCTGCCTCTTGTCACAGGTAATTCTTCAAGAAATCACACGACCTTTTTTTTCCAACCTGTTTTTGGGTTTTGCTTGACTTGTGATAATTAATGTGGTAGTTTCGCACGACCCTAAGCATTCTGCTACTTATGGAAGACTAATTTAATTTGATACAAATCTCAATCAAAAGTTTTTACTATTTTTTGCTACTTGTTTATCAATTTGCTTGGTTGGTATAACTTGTCATGGTATGTAAATTTGGTATTTAATTAGCATAATTTTTTCCTCTGATATAATTTTAATTAGCTTAATCTGGGGTTGGGGACAGAGATAGTTATGAAGATAGAGGAAGGAACGCGTAAATGAAGAATATTAATTATTACTGTTTGCCTGTTTGTCTCTTCAACCTTAAATTTCTTGTTTGATTGATTGATTGATTGATTTATCTAGTCCAAAAATTCTTGTTTGATAGTTTTCATATACATGTTCTTAATGACCGTCGCAATCTGCATAAAGTCAACCCAAACAACTAATAGAACATGCAGGCCGTAGACATCCTTCAGAATTTGTATGGGTGAAGGAAAAATATCGGTCGAGCATGTGGACAAGGCAGTGTGCCTACCTCCTTGTATTTCCACTCTCTATATTAGACTAGTTTGGAATACCGTCATTATGTTAAAAAAAAAAAGAATAATACTAGTCTTACCATATTTTTTATACCACATGATGTGATAGTTGATGTATACATACCACATCATGTAAACTACTAGTTTCTGTTTTTCTAATTTTTATTTATTAAAATACATTTAATTCATTTAATTGATATGACATATGATATGGACATGTCACGTCATGTGGTATAAAAATGTGGGATAATAATGTGGTAAGTGTAGCATTACTATCGGTAGGCAAACTACCCTTTTATTATTATTATTATTATTTTTTCAACCATATTATTATACTCGCAAGTCATTCATAAAATTACAGTCTTAAATTAAAACTTACAATTACAATGAGGTTGCACTTTAGTTGGTTTAACTCTAATCCAACATAAACTGAGTTTGAGGTTGATTAAGAGTTGTGATTTACAAGTGAGGCTGCAGCATTTGAGTTCATCTCTTGATGATATGAATCTTATAATATTTCAGGAAGAATCCCCAAAAGACGTTTACAAGGATTCTGAAGACAGGTTCAGGACATGGTATTTTCCTCAACATGACTTCACCCTCATGAAATTGTGGTCCAAATATCTTATAGCTGCAGATGAGAGGATGGTTAATGGTACAGGGTCCGGCACCTTTGATTTGCATCTTGACCGGCTCGACGATCAATGGGCGCGGCACCTCCCCGATCTAGACTACGCCATCGTCTCAGGCGGGCATTGGTTTTTCCGGTTAATGTACTTACACGAAAGTGGTAACCTCACCGGATGCGTCTATTGCAATCAACCTAATGTCACTGACTACAACATTAGCCACGCCGTTCGGATGGCGTTTCGAACAGTTTTCAAGCACATCAAGGATTGCAAGAACTGCAGAGGTGGTCTCATGGCCTTGCTGAGGACATTTGCTCCTGCACACTTCGAGAATGGGGCTTGGAACACCGGGGGGTACTGTAACAGAACAAGTCCTTTCAGTGAGGCGCAGATTGATTTGGGCACTTTCGACTGGGAAATGAGGAACATTCAGATTGAGGAGTTTGAAAGAGGAAGAAGAGAGGGGGAGATGAAGGGGAAGAAGTTTGGGGTTTTGGATATAACCAGGGCCATGCTGATGAGGGCAGATGGGCACCCTGGAGCTCACTGGGGCAATCAGTGGATGAAGGGCTATAATGACTGCGTCCATTGGTGCATGCCAGGCCCTGTTGATTACTGGAACCATTTTCTAATGGCGATTATCAGAAACGAGGGAGGCTTAGCTTCTTAGTTAAGGGTAGAGCTTAGTTAGAAGTAGTAACATACAAATTCATATCTTAATAATGCCCACATTTTTGTTTCCTTTTCATTTTATTGTATTTTTTTTTGTTACAAGCAAGGGCGTATAATAATTTTAGCTCCAGATGCGAGATTTCTACCATCGATTTATCAGTGTAGAACAGATTAAAATTTAAAACATTGCTGGTGTAGATACCCATTAGTGACCTTTCAAGATGTTCTATTTCAAAGTATTCTAAATAATTTCTTTTTTCCAACATGAAATGGAACATTTCGTGACAGCAATTATGCGGTCAACAAAATCCCACCACTCACGTCCTGTCAAATATTGTTATGTTTTCTTTTTCCCCTTTAAACGACACAAAGTCCAGTATCTTTTGAGGTGGTAGGGTAGCCAGAGCTAATTCCATGATGGGCAAAATGGCACATAACAGCTTCCCCTGCTAAGGGAAAAAGCTTCCCTATCCCGGTTTCATAAAGAATCTAGATGGACGGGGTGGCCTGACTTTAGGGACAAAGCTCAAACGTGAAACACGCAAAGACAAGGGCCGGAATGTAGATGGATTGGGTGGCCTTTCACCGTCGATCAAAACTCACGAGACTTGATAAAATCGTAGTCAGTTCTGACAATTACTAGCGAAGAAAAGACATGGACAACCTCCTTTATTAAATATCATTGGCTGTGGTACCAAATACAGAAAAACGAAATACACTTCCACGCTTCATAAAGAATCTACCAAGAGCATGAGATGCGCACAATCCATGTAGAGCTTCATTGTCCATTGTAAGAATTTTATCAAACAGGTTTTGTAAGAACAATCAAAATCATGTTGACAAAGTGAAGTCCCCAAGAATGGGTTGCGGGCAACCAATGCAGCTCACAATAGGCAAAACTAATTGGGTGGAAAGTATGACAACCATAAGCAACATGATGTTACCTCTACAAAGCAGCAGAGAGGCCTTTTGGAAACCTTCGGCTTCCCCTACCCCACACAACAAAAAACCTACAAAAAAAGAAAAAAGACCTCCGAAAAGATTCAGAGTAGACTGTCTGTATCATCACATTTCATGAACTTTTTAAAAATTCAGCACATTTTGTGAAACCAAAGTTAGTAGCTTTTGACATCATAGGTCACTTCAAAATGATATCTTTCAATAGTAGTTATAAAACAAATAAGCAGAGATATATACACAAGAATGTACAATGATGTAAGTTCCTTGTAGATAATAGTCTGTAAGATATGCACCTAGAAATCAAATATGTAAAAAGAGATCATATATAAAACGAAGATTCAGAGATGCTTGGCACAGACACTCGTGCACACAGATGGAAGGCTGTCTTCTGTCAACAAGGCTCAATTACATATGAGGAAGAGTCTGAGAAAGATGATTACCACAAATCATACCTAGATTGTTGAAGCAGAGAGATTTCAAAATTCTCTGAAACAAAAAATTGCAAACCAATACTAAGGATCTATAGTTAATAAGAACAAGACTAGCTTTTGTTCATAAAGAAGTGCACAATCAGGAAAAGGAGTTCTAAAATTATGCAGTGCGTTTCAAACTTTAAGAGTAGAAGATTACAAAGATGAGAGTAGTCTAACAAATACACTGCACACACAGCATACACAAGCGTGTACACACACATTCAGAAGATGAAGGTGATATCTCTTATGAGCCAACAAAACCAAGGCACTAGAAAGACTAGTAAAACAATTTTGATAGCTCACTCACTTGGGGCATAGGGTTTAACTGACATGATGAGGGCAGTAAAAATCAATCCCTGTGCCCTGTGGCAGAAGTTGCCAATTCATTAAACTAAGAGTTTACCAAGTTAGTGAAAGATACATAACATAATCAGTCTACGATCATATTACAAAAGAAGTTGAAAACAGAAATTTGATACACCATCTGCCATAACCATACTATAGAAGAAGCGTATTACCCATCACAAGGCTACACCACTAAAAAAACTACAGCCAAAACCTACACCATCAGACCAAAAGTAGAAAATTTAGAAATTTATAACCAAAACCTCCAGGGACCATATGAAGTTAAAATGCATACACCTGATCAAATTTACCATCTCTGATATTGACTAAACATTAAAACCAACAGAATAGGATGGAACAGTAAAAGTATTTCAAAATATCATCAACATGAACAAAACACATTATCAATCTAAAGGGAAGATAAAATGAAAATGTCAGAACATCAAATGCAAATTATGTAACTAAGCTATAAGTAGCACCATAGACAGTAATCTACACTAACATCATAGGGTAACATATTCATTAAACAACAACTAAATTTTAGATTAACACAGAATGGCTCTGAAACCTCATGCTTCCACTGTGTTGCCTAGCACAAACGAGAATAACTCACGAACAGGCGAAAACTCCACCAACCCAATATCCATGGCATACCCAGCAACCGGCAACTTCAAGTCCCGTAACACGCAAAACGCTTCCGCCATCCGAGTCCTTGGCACTTCTTGAGCAACAGCACAACAAGGAACCCAAGAATCTGTGCGATACTCCTCCCCAATTTCAACGCCTTCTCTCTTCACTGCCTCGCACAATTGGGACTGAAACTGAAGCAACGAAACTGAAGGAGTTGGTGACAGAAACAGGACATTGTTGTCATGTGGAAGGCTCCCAATTGAGGAGAAAGACAACGCCAAAGGTTCTTGCTTCGAAGCGAAGGCTTTGATTACGTTTTCGAGCTTCGCTGGTTCAATGAAAGGGCTGGAGAAGAGGGTGATGTGGGGGCGTGATTCGATTTCAATGAGTTGGGTACTAATCTGACGGCGAGCGAGCACATTCCAAGCCTTCAAGACCTGGTTTTCGAGGGCTGGATCGAAGTAGAGCTCGATCGCATAGCCTTGTGACATTGCCTTCGAATTGAAATTCGAGGGAAAGTAAGCAAATTGGATCGAAATCAACACAACCCAGTGACAAACACTGAGATCTCAGATTGCCCAGAAATGAAAAATGAAAGATAAGCTGAAATCAAAGTAACCCAGAATTGTAAAAACAAAAATAAATAAGAAAAGACTTGAGATTTAAGAAAATAGCAAAATAAGAAATAACCAAGTGAGATTGAGATCAAACAAAGTCTGAGAATTGAAATCAGAAATGGGGATGAAAAAGAGAAAGAGAGAAGAGAGTTTAACAGGGAGATGAAAAAAAGAGAAACAAAAGCATGTGAAATTGTGGATTAAAGTTTCAATCAGAAAGAGACAGACGGAATAAAGAGCAATAAAAATCAAAACACAGACTCAAAAGTGGTTTCCCAATAGACTCTGTAGCAGCGAAGCTACGATTTTCTTTCTTCGGCAATCACAGTAAAAGATAAGATAAAGTGAGAGAGAAGGAGGAGGGGCCTTGCACCATCTGTTGAAGAGTAGGGTGCATGGTCACCGGTTTTTGGTGGTTGGCTTCAAGTTTTCAACACTTCAACTCTCTCAAAATGAAGTCTCAAGTGGAGATTCATTGGTAGGAGACAAGAAAAATATTATCCTTAATTGATCGCACATAACCAAAAAAATATTAATTGTTAAAAATTAATTTTGACAGAAAAATTATTACAAATTAATTAGTGCATAAGTGATGGTAAAAATGCTACTCTAATTTATCTTACACCGGTCAGGTATCGCTTTTGAAATGACAACTCAATGTTTGACCAAAAAAAAAGGAGGATGGTTGTATATCATTAATTATACCTAGTTTTTTTTTTGTTGCCAAATTGTAATTAGGTTCAGAGCATCCATAATGATGCTCTCTATTTCTTAGCTAAAATTTGGCTAAGAATATAAAAAAATTATTTTAGGAGCTCTCTAAAAAATTTTAACTCCAACCATATTCCCTAATTTGGAGAGTCATAAATGCTATAACTCTTTTTTAATTGGTCAATTTCTATTAAAAAATAAAATAAAAAATAGTTAATATTAAATACAAGTTTGAAATACTCATTAAATAAAGCAGCATTAAATTATAGAGAGTCACTGGGAGTCCTTTCTCTCTCATCAGATTTAGGAGCTCCTAGAGGACTCTCTATTTTAGGAGGTGAATAGAGAGTTGGAGTTGTATTTTTACGATTCCTCTCTAAAATTTGTCTAAGGAGGTGGTCCATTGTGGATGCTCTCATATGCTCATTTGTAGGGGGAATAAATGCCATAATAGAGGATGAATTTTGATTTATAAAGTGTTAAAGGAAACTTTTTATCGCGCTTATATAATGTTTCATGCTATACTTTTGACTTCAGTTATAATTGTAATTCTAATAGAGAATGAATAGAATTACAAAGAAAAAACTCAAAATTTATTCTAAACCAATATAGAAATGGGATGAATAGCTTAAACACTTCAATCAAATTTTACATCCTTTCATAAATGAGACATGCTGTTCTTAGGTAAAAAAAATTATCAACAAATGCATGCATAAATGAACATTGCTGGTTGGATAAATTAGTTATGTCAAATTCACAAGTTGACTAATAATGCATCTTAATTGAGTGAAAATACAACTTTAAAAGTTATATTCAATCAGCAGATTTAGTCAAGTTGGCTAGAGCGGATATGCTCTCCATTTTCCAATGGTTAAAAAATACGGCATCACCTAACGCCAAATATATGACTCTCACTGTAAAATTCTTGCGCAAGAGAAAAAAAAAAGAGAAGAATTCTTGCGCATCCTTGGAACTGTACTTTTGGTGATGGGCTGTAAATAAGTTGTAGGCCCAAACTCTGTCACATTTCCTTCCTCAACTGTCATCTGCTACAGCGTCTGATTCAAAACAAGGAAGTCGTTGATTCTGGAACCTCTCTGCTTCTTCATAAAAGCCCTAATCGCAAGCTTCATCGCTCTCAGACCAACAATCCCAGAAAAACCCCATTTTTTGTATTTTCTCCAAAATTTAAAAAATGGGTGATAATAAAAGAAAGAGAGGTCCAAAACCCAAAACCCCAGCAGCTGAAGATACCAATATCACCACCATGGATATCCAATACACCAACCCCACCACCGCAAACGACGCCGTTTCAGTTCCCTCGAACGAAACCGCCACTGACCCCAGTAGCTCCCAGCCCAGTCGCCGTGGACGAGGCCGGCCCAGAAAGACCGAGAAGCTCAACATAGCGGCTTCACCGGAACGACGAAGCTTGAGACACGCGGACCAAAACGGCGATGGTGGGCACGCCTTGGCTGTCGTTTCCGAGCCACCGTTGATGGTGCCGAGCTGGGAGAACGTGGCGAGAGTGGTCCCGGCCATGGAGGCCGTAGTAAAGGTGTTTTGTGTGCACACGGAGCCTAATTTATCGTTGCCATGGCAGAGGAAGAGGCAGTACAGTTCGAGCAGTAGTGGGTTTGTGATAGGAGGCAGGAGAGTCTTGACCAATGCGCACTCTGTGGAGCACCATACCCAGGTTAAGCTCAAGAAACGTGGCTCTGAAACTAAGTACTTGGCCACTGTGTTAGCCATTGGAACCGAGTGTGATATTGGTATGCAACATTCGGCTTCTTTTATTTGCTTATGAACTAATTTTTCATGTGGTTTTGAATTGTTTATTGAAAAGAAGTGGGAATATTTTGTTGACAAGAAGTTGTAAAACTTGCATTTTGAGAAACTTAATTATTAAGAGCTTATTGGATTGAAATGGAAACAGAATGCAGTTTGTTTATTTTAAATATTTCACTAGATATTACCGGCAGTATCCTCATTATTGTGACTTTATTATGCAATTAAAGAGTTCTTTTTCCTTTTCTCCATGATGCTTCTTCAGCAATGCTTACGGTGAGTGATGATGAATTCTGGGAAGGAGTTTCACCTGTGGAGTTTGGCGAGTTACCGGCACTCCAAGATGCTGTGACCGTAGTGGGCTACCCTATTGGGGGTGACACGATCTCTGTGACAAGTGGTGTTGTGTCACGTATGGAGATACTGTCTTATGTTCATGGATCGACTGAGCTTCTAGGACTGCAGGTACTATCTTCTGGACAATGTCTTCTATGACTACCTACCCTAAATACCTGATCATTGACATGTCCTGGTTTCCTTTTTCCTTGTGATCCATTTGCAGATAGATGCTGCAATAAACTCTGGAAACTCTGGTGGGCCTGCCTTTAATGATAAAGGAAAATGTGTGGGTATCGCATTTCAGTCTCTTAAACATGAGGATGTGGAAAATATAGGTTACGTCATACCAACACCAGTTATTATGCACTTCATTCAAGATTATGAGAAGAATGGGGAATATACAGGTTTGTTATAGGTTTTACTTCATTAAAGCAAGACAAGCCGCAACAGAAACCTCCTTAACTGTAATTGTTGTTATTTGTATGTTTCCCTTCCAGCAAATGTGCCTGGCAGTCTAGTGGGGCCACATTGAACATTGGCTTATGATTCGGTGTTGGTGATTGAAATTCTTCTCCTCTTCTTACTTTGAATCTGGCTGTTAATTGCCTTACAGGGTTCCCAGTTATTGGAGTTGAATGGCAGAAGATGGAAAATCCTGATCTGCGCACGTCAATAGGGATGAGAACTGATCAAAAGGGTGTGCGTATCAGAAGAATTGAACCTACAGCTCCAGAATCACATGTTCTGAAGCCATCTGATATTATTCTTAGCTTTGATGGGGTGAACATTGCAAATGATGGCACAGGTAAACTCTCCCCCTCTTCCATTTGTAGCATTCCATCTAAGGACAGAATCCTGTTACTATTCCTTTTCATCTTATGCACTTTTCAGAGAAGTTGAATTTTTAATTTGCATAAGCTCTGTATATTCGATATTTAACACTCTTTGGTATCAATTTTATAGTTCAATTCAGGCATGGAGAGCGCATAGGTTTCAGTTACCTTGTGTCTCAAAAGTATACTGGTGATAATGCTCTAGTAAAAGTTCTTCGTAACTCAGAGATACTTGAGTACAACATAAAACTTTCAACTCACAAGCGACTCATCCCGGCACACATCAACGGCAAACCTCCTTCATATTATATCATTGCTGGTTTTGTTTTTGCAGCAGTATCTGTTCCATATCTGCGTTCTGAGGTGCGACCTTAATTTCACACTTCATACGCTCTCTCGCTCTTTCTGTCTCTCTAATATACGTGTAGATATGTAGATGTGTGGTTCCTAGGAATCAGGGCGGGGTTTACTTTTTCCCGCATAATAATGCCAGCCTTAATGTTTGGCCGGCGAGAACCGGTGGTACTAAGGGGCCCCTTAGTACAAGTTTTGCTAGAGTGGTGTGCCCAATGGCACCTCCAAGCTTAATTAAGAAAATGAAGATGGATGATTTTAAGTTTGGTCTATAAAAGCAAACTTTCCATTACTATGTTACCAAATCTTAACCTCTGTTTTTCATTACTTTCCAGTATGGAAAGGATTATGAATTTGATGCTCCAGTGAAACTGTTGGACAAGCATTTACATTCAATGGCGCAGTCTATCGATGAACAGCTTGTTGTTGTTTCTCAGGTTTCCCTCTCTCATCTATTTTTCTCATGCTTTTCTGTTTTAGACTAAGTTCTCTTCACTCTGCAATCATGGCTTACATTTATTCAAAATTCTTGTAGGTACTTGTTGCCGACATTAATATTGGATATGAGGACATTGTTAACACTCAGGTTAGAGATATGTTACACGACTTGGGTTTTTTTGCTTTGCTTCATTTAAGTTTTCATTTATTTTTAGTTCATAAAAATATCAGAAGTTTTTCCTTTTTACTTTCTCTTTTCCTTTCTCGTTCTTTCGTGTTTGTGATTCAACAAATGACAATGAAGTTTCCAAAAAGAAAAACAAATGACAATGAGATAAAATTTCTGAAGTTACGTTGGTAGTGCACTTATTCTAATATTTTGTGTTCTGTTTAGGTTCTCGCTTTTAATGGTAAACCTGTGAATAATCTGAAGAAGTTGGCCAGCATGGTGGAGAATTGTGACGACGAGTACCTAAAGTTTGACCTAGAGTACGATCAGGTTCATTCTCCCTCCCTCTTTGTTTAGCAGACACTGTTGCAGCATGTATGCATGCTCGGCATTTTTGTTTTAATGGCCGAAATGCTTGCTTGTGGGTGCAGATGGTTGTACTACAGACAAAAACTGCCAAGGCAGCAACTTTAGATATCCTGCTGACACATTGCATACCTTCAGCAATGTCTGATGACCTTAAGTCTTAAGACTCGAGAGAAGATCCTATTCCCATAGATGAACTTGACAACGAATGCTCATAAAGGGAACGGGGTATAGACTACGCCACGGATTTCATTTTCTTATGGAGAATAAGAATAGAAGCTGGCAATTTGTTCTTTCCGTTTCTTTGTGTACCAATTAGACCCTCAGTTGGGGTTGGCAGCGAGGAAATGAAGTTTGGTATCCTAGAATGAGCAGCGTCTCATGATCTATCTTTGTTTGTCGAATTCATTTCTTCCAGCTACAAACATTTGGGCAATATAATGTAACATTATTACCAGCTGATCCATTTGAGAAAATTATAGAAGTTGAGCTGTACAGTTCCCTGTCCCTAGGGTCATTTATGTATTTGCCGTGCTCTTTTTCACTTTATTTTCATTTCATTCCTAAAATTTCCCACATAATTATATAAATATGACTCAATCATATGATCACATGAGTGGTGTTTTAGCGGATGTGAGTTAAACTAGTTGACCACAGCAGTGTGTCCGCCGTCTCGCATCTAAGGTCAAATCCCTCTACCCCATCTGGATTGCACAAATAACATTAACAATGTTTAATAATACAACTCATTACACCGAATCCAGCCCAACTTGAACTGGATTCACACCTTAAATAGTTTTTAATAACAAAGGCCCAATTCTGAACTCTCTCATCACCATGTGAAGTGTGAACACTAGCTAAAAAGTTCCCGTCCCGTTCGTTTCTTGTCTTCTACTCCTCAGCCTCTGGTTAGTTAGTTACCGCGCAGGTTCCAGGAAGCCACCTTTGACTCTGTATGAGTCTCCGGTCGGTCTGAAAATCCAGTTTTCCTTATTTTTTTATGACGACTGAATCAACGACCCCTTTTCTACGCCTTAATTATTATAAAAAGAAAAAAAAGAAATCCAAAACTCAAAAACCCACATTTCTTACAATTGTACCAATACCAAATACCCACCACCACCACCATGTATCTCCAATACATCAATCCTACCAGCGCAGCCACTATTAACGACGCCGTTTCCGTCCCTTCAACCGAGCCCAATAATAAAGCGGCTCCCAGACTTGTGGACCAAAACGGCGACTGTGGGCACGCCTTGGCTGTCGTTTCGCAGCCACTACCGGAGGTGCCGAGGTGGGAGAGCGCTCCGAGAGTGGTCCCGTCCATGGACGCCGTGGTGAAGGTGTTTTGCGTGCACACGGCGCCCAATTTCTCGTTGCCTTGGCAGAGGAAGAAGCAGTACAGTTCCAGCAGTAGTGGGTTTGTGATAGGGGGCAGAAGGGTTTTGACTAATGCGCATTCTGTGGATCATCATACTCAGGTTAAGCTCAAGAAACGCGGCTCTGATACCAAGTACTTGGCCACTGTCCTAGCCATTGGAACCGAGTGTGATATTGGTATGCAACATTTTTAATTTTTATTATTAATTTCGCTTCTTTTATTTGCTGCTAACATTTGGGTTTTTATTGGTTCGTTGTAAAGTTCATGAATTATGTTAAAGTTTGTTGCTTTTTTTGTTTTTGTTTTTCCATTTATTGGTGATGGTTCAGCGATGCTTACTGTGAGTGATGATGAGTTCTGGGAAGGGATTTCACCTGTGAAGTTTGGGTGTTTGCCTGCACTCCAAGATGCTGTGACTGTTGTTGGGTACCCAATTGGGGGTGACACAATCTCTGTGACTAGTGGTGTTGTGTCACGCATGGAGATACTGTCTTATGTTCACGGCTCCACTGAGCTTCTGGGAATGCAGGTGGGATATATTATTTGCCTTTTAGTATCTTACCATGAAACTATAAACCACTTGATTTTGAGTCTTACCGGGTTTTCGTGGGTCCTTTCTCCTTGAGATGCTTTTTTGCAGATAGATGCCGCAATCAACTCTGGAAACTCTGGTGGACCTGCCTTTAATGATAAGGGAAAATGCGTGGGCATTGCATTTCAGTCCCTTAAACATGAAGATGCGGAAAATATAGGCTATGTCATACCCATACCGGTTATTATGCACTTCATTGAGGATTATGAGAAGAATGGCGCATATACAGGCTTCCCAATTCTTGGAATTGAGTGGCAAAAGATGGAAAATCCTGATCTTCGCATGTCAATGGGGATGGGACCTGATCAAAAGGGAGTGCGTATTAGAAGAATAGAACCTACATCTCCAGAATCTCAACTGCTGAAGCCATCTGATGTTATTCTTAGCTTTGATGGGGTTAACATTGCTAATGATGGCACAGGTAAACCTTTTATGATTTTGAAAGATTTCTGTTCCCTTTTCAAGTCACTTTTGCGTTCATGTGTGTGTTGGTATGTTGCATTCTTTATAGAAGAGTGGCATTTGAACATTCAAAAATGAAGTGTGACATATGGTATTTGGACTGTAAGTTATAGCATTCTTTCAAAGAACACATACTCGTTATTACTGTTATTATAACAGTATATGTCTAAATGCAGAAGCTTCTTTATATTAAGTGTTCACACCATTTTTTGTATCAATTTTCTAGTTCCATTCAGGCATGGAGAGCGCATAGGTTTCAGTTACCTTGTCTCTCAAAAATACATTGGTGACAATGCTGTAGTAAAAGTTCTTCGTAACTCAGAGACACTTGAATTCAACATTAAACTTGCAAAACACAAGGAACTCATCCCCTCACACATTGAGGGAAAACGTCCTTCCTATTATATCATTGCTGGATTTGTTTTCACAGCTGTTTCTCTTCCATATCTGCGTTCTGAGGTGTGCCCTCTCTCTCTCTCTCATCTGTTCTCAATCTCTGTATGACTGATATCTATGCCTATTAGTTTCTGCTCTCGTTGTATAATTATAAAATAAATATATTAGATTTCAGTACAATGTTTCTAAATCCTAACCTTGGGGTTTTCATTCATTTCCAGTTTGGAAATCTATTTGACGTTCCAATCAAACTGTTGGACAAACATTTACATGCAATGGCACAGTCTATTGATGAACAGCTTGTTGTTGTTTCTCAGGTTTCTCTCTCTCATTCTATCTTTCCATGTTTTTCTGTATTAGTATAAGTTCTTGTTACCCTTCTTTTATGTCTTACATTGTTCAAAATTGTGCTAGGTACTTGTTGCTGACATTAACATTGGATATGAGGACATCGTTAACAATCAGGTCAGGAACAAAGCTTTTCTTTTCCCTTTCTTTATGAGATGCAACAAATGATGTGAGGAAAAATTGGTGAAACAAGATTCAATGAACTTGTGAAAATTATTCTGCTATCTGTGCAGGTTCTTACTTTCAATGGTATGCCTGTGAAGAATCTGAAGAGCTTGGCCAGCATGGTTGAGAATTGTGATGACGAGTACCTAAAGTTTGGCTTGGAATACAATCAGGTTCTTTCTCTGTTTCTTTCTCTCATGCACACATATGCATGGATTATGCATGCATGCTCTGCAATTTTCTTTCGATGGCTGAATTGCATACTTCCTGCGCAGATGGTTGTTCTACAGACGAAAATTGCCAGGGCAGCAACACTGGATATCCTCATGACACATTGCATATCTTCGGCCGTGTCTGATGATCTTATGACTAAAGAGAATACTTCAGAGGAAGTACAGTCGACCCTTGATGACCCTAAGACTAGAGATACGATTTTAGAGGAAGTACAAGAGACTAAGGAAATTTTTTAAGAGGAAGTACAGAAGACCTCTTCTCCTTTAGCCAGCGACATAGATGAATTCTAGAATGCTCTTACAGGAAACCAAGTATTACACTTGTCCCAACCAAATTTCAGAGTCATCATTATGGGATAAGCTTTTAATTTTTTTTATAGTCATAGATTATGTGATAGTAAGGGCAAAAGGAAATGATGTCACTTTTACAAGAGCATAGTTTGGGATTGTAAAAACATATTCTTCATATGAAATCAATTTGATGCAAGTTTTATGGCCTCAAGTTTCAGTGTCTTGGATGACCTTGTAGAATTGGATTTCTAGCTAAGTGTTAAGTCCACCCTATCAAAATGAGGTAAGTCTCAAATCTCATTACCCCTCATGAGTGTCATGCGTCCATTACAGAACAAACATTTGAGTTACGTGCCGGGAACAACCTGCAGAACAGAGCAATGCGAAATAAACTTAATTACATGCGTTAAACAGAATTTTTTTGCAATAATTCACAATTTCCAACACTGCATTAGGGTTCTGCTTGCAAGAATTCAATCTCCCAAAACCTTATTTCAACATCCTTTCGGGAAAACCCATAAAATTCCCAAGGGCTCGTGAAGTTAAAGGGATCAAGTCCTCTTTTGTGTCATTCTTCAACATAGATTGAGGCTTTAAGTTTTCGGTTCTTAAAAATACTGTCTGTTGAGAAGGCGGGCTTTTGCCGCACGGGGATTTACAACATCTGCAATGCATGATGTTCTCCAACCAGAACTAATCATATTCAACAGTTCTAGTAAGCAAATAGGCGTTGAACATCTTGTATCTGACTTTCACACATATTTACATGTGCAAATGTTTGATCTACTACATCTTGTCGTTTTTAATATACTTTTGCAATAATGGGGCCTTGTGGGCAGATGGGGCTTCCAGGCTATCAGCTACAGAGTCTTCAACAGCCTCTTCCTTTGCTTTTCCCCACAGAACCGTATAAAACCCGATTGATATTATTGTTGCTCCAACTAGGCTGCAAAATGCAGAAAATTTAAACAGTGACCAGATGGAGGAGAAGGAATTGCATGTCACTGGAATAGCACTGTTTTGCTATCCCCATTCCATCACGGGTAGAAGCCAAATCATAAAATTAATGGAAGAGATTAGTTATGTTATCAAACCTTCCAAGATGAAGAGTGTCACCAAGGAAGATGACACCCATGGCAACAGCAATGGCCATTGACAAAGGCTTGAACATTGTCACATAGACAGGTCCCTTCAAGCGCAAGGCCCATGTGTGCACAGTATTGTTCAAAAATGACCCAAATAACCCCTAAACAAAGAGAGAAAAAAAAAAGAAGCAGCAATATTTAGATAGGCGCTGTTTATATGCAATAATACAACGTAAACTATTGCTCAGCATAGTCTGTTAATTTCTTACCGAGCACAAAATGGAGACCAATGCAACATTTGGTCTCAACTTCCAAGCACTGGAATTTGGTTCTGTAATCAGAGCAACAACGCCAGCTACGACGCCCACGCATACATTGTAGAAAAAAATTACAGTTAATTCGTTCGGGTACTCTTTCATAATTTGAGCCTGTAAAAGGTTTTATCACTTTGGAAATAAGGCTTACAATATTCAGAAAAAAAAAAGAGATACAAAAACAGCTGAAGAATTGCATAATTTACCTGAACAATGTACCACAGTGGTACCAATATATATTCAGCTGTTAGCAGAAGG